GTGTGATGGTGTGAGAGCATGTCCTATTCCATGGGAACCCATGTCCTAGGAAGGCACCCTGAGTTTGGTCTGGGGCATGCTTGTGCCCCCAAACCCCGCCCTTCCTGCCTTATCCTCCACCAGCCCCAGAGCCTCATTTAGTGCTAAGGTAGTCACAGCAGCAGCTCTTACCCTCCTAATGATGGCTAAGTTCTTTAGCCTTGTACCTCTAGGCAGCTACTATCTGGACCTGCTCCAGTGTCCCTACCTGACCCCCAACCACTGTCCCTCACATCCACACTACTGAAGCAACGTGCCCCCAGCAGTCACACTCTCCTAAGCTTCTAACCCCTTGCACACACATTGTCCTCTGTCTAGAATGCCCCACGGACACAGGTCACATCTTGTGCATCCTTCCTGGACCCAAGAGCTAGAGTTAAGCAGCCTCTCTCTGTGCCCCAGAGCTGGAATACAAGTTGACACAGATGACAGCAGTGGATTCCTGTAAAGTGCTCACCATGTGACAGGCATTGACAGGAGCACTTGGCCTCTCAGGACTCCCTTGATGGACACAAGCAGAGGGCTTCCCAGTTACAGGCTCAGCCTTCCCAAGTTCAGATTCTGGCTGTGTTGCTTAATGGTTTTGTGAGTGTAGGAAATTTAGTCTTTCTGCATGGAGTAACCACAGCACACTCTTTTCAGAGCTGTGATAGAATTTAGTAAATAAAGCACGTAGTGTCTACTACTTAATAAGTACTCAATACACGTTAAATGCATGTCGATGATGGCATACAGACACGTAATTCATGTTAGTGGGTGTAATCTCACTAGACTTTGAGCATTTCAAAATCAATGATCATGTTGGTGTATCTGTTATCAAGCTCTAAGAGACCATCTTCTCTGTCTCCCTTTTATTGCCATTATTGATGCATATCCATTTTAGAAATTAGTAGCTAGAAGCTCAGAGAAGTAATGCCTTACCCTAACATGCCACCTGTCAGAGACAGAGCTGAGATGGGAGCTGGTCTGTGAGACCCCAGAGCTCTGTTCTGTGTTCCTCTCAATCAGCCATCCTCCTGAAACTGACACTTGTCAGGGATGGAGCACATCTTTGCCCAAGAGCCCACTGGTCCCTGCACACAGCAGAGGACTCACTAGGGCCCACTGTGAGCCCAGGACAGATTGTATAGATTTGATAAAGGCTCTTGTTTGCCCTGAGAGGCTAGTCTAATACAGCAAGGAACCTTCCTCTTTGAAGACCTACAGTGCTCAGTGTCTGACTCGCTCTTGGGGTCAGTCACAACAAGCCAGTCTCATCGCTTCCTGATCTGTGTGTGGAGCATCTGGTGCCCTCCTGAAACCCACCTCCCAGGAGCCAGTGGTTTGGTCAGATGGGATCCAGCAGCCATAGTAAAAGGCTTGGTGTTTTCCCATTTTGCTCTCATTTTGGCATTGAGACTCCTATTTTAAATGCCGAAGAATGATCCCATGGTGAGATTTGATGCTTTATGGTTTATTCACTCACATGCTTTTATCATTACTGTGGACTAACAGTTACCATTTTCAGGGTTGAAGATGTAGGTACATGGCAGAGTGCTTGCCTAGAAGCATGAGATGCTGGGTTCAATCCCAGAACTCAGAAAAAGAAAGAAAGAAAGAAAGAAAGAAAGAAAGAAAGAAAGAAAGAAAGAAAGAAAGAAAGAAAGAAAGAAAGAAAGAAAGAAAGAAAGAAAGAAAGAGAAACCCAGGATATCATATAATTAGAATGCTGTAGTCCAGGCATCATGTTGAGAGCCTAACACCTATTATCTCATTTAATTCTTATCACAACCTTATAGGGTGGACATTGTCTCTAGAAAGAAATCCAGAAAAGTACAACTAAAGAAGTTAAGTAATTTAATTGAGATCACAACTTTTTCTTTTTAATGTTACGTTAATTTTTTTTTTATATTTACTTATGTAGTGTATGTGTGATGTGTATGTGTGCGCTTGTGTATGCTTACTTAGGACTGTGATGATCAGAGGGTAATTTGCTGGAGTCTATTGTCTCCTTATACTATGTGGGTTTTAGAAACAAACATAGGTCATCAGGCTTGATGGCAAGCACCCTCACCCACTGAGCCATCTTACCAGTCCCAGGGTCGCAACTTTTAAGTGCAAGAGCCCAAACTTGAACTCTGACCTATGGGACACCCAAAGGCCAATCCCCTTCTGTGATCTGCTGCTCTGCCCAGCACTCTGAAGGAACCTCCATGTGATCTCAGTTCAGAGAGATGCAGCCAGGAGATGCTGATGATCAGAATTTCTACGTGGAAGAAAATGGATGCTCAAAGACACCAGCAACTACAAATCTTTATTTATTTACTTTTGGTTTTTTCAGACAGGACCTCACTGGGTAGCCCAGACTGACCTCAAATTCACCTGAGGCAGTCCTCCTGCCTCTGCTTCCCAATTGCTAGGATAATATGCATGAGTCTCTGCTCAGTGGCAACTACAAATAAATCCAAGGAATTTTTGAGGGAACAAAAGCTCTTCCTGGAAAACCAGGTTTTCAAAGCTTAAATAAGTAAGTGGCTTTTACTGAAGGTGATGTGTACATATAACAGTAAACTGGCTCATGTCTGGACTGGATGGAGAGATATGAGTGGTTGCTGGATCTGTGGGAGGAGGGTTTGGACTGGAAGTTTACAAATGTCCCAAGGCTTCTAAACAGTTGCTGAAGCAGAGTTTGGTGTCCTTGCTTAGCTACACAGCAAAAGTCTGTTGGCTTATAGGCCATCTTGGCCTGGCCCAGACCTGACACCGCTCTCCTCCCTGAGAGTATTTTTACTGCCTTTGGCCATAGAGTAAGTGTCTGTGTTAGACACAAAGGTATATTGGTTTGAGAAGACAGAATTCAAACTGTGGTTTCATAAGGACACTTATCTGTTTTACAAGCCTTACCCTCTTTATTTATAAAATGGGATGATGCTAACACTGCTTTTTAGGGATTGTGGTGAGCATTAGAGAGGTCAAGGTGTGAAAGCACGTAGAAGATGCTCAAGTGCATGGCAGCCTCTATTAATATCAACTAAAGAAAATTCCATAAGGAGGCAACTCCTAGAGCAGGATATAGACAGGCCACCTTTCTCTGCTGGCCCCATGATAGCCATTGTGCAGTGAAGGGTCAGTCTCTGTCTCTGTCTGCTATGGTGCCCTGGACCCCAGGCAGCAGCTGGAAAAGCCTACCTGGGGGAGGACATGCAGCCCAGGGGCTATATCTGCTGCTAGCTTCTACCATGCAGAAGGAGGTCACATTGACTTCCAGGTTCTCACCCCTCTCCTCAAGGGGAATCCCTGCTAGCTCTCTGCTCACCCACGACTTCAGCATCACCCATCTTTCTGAGGGATGGGGGGTTCCATCCACACTCAGTAGCCTTCCAGGGACCCTTCCTCACCTATACTGAGATTTCAACCCCTTGAATACCTCCTCAGCAGACTACTGACCTCTGACAGAGGTGTGGCTGGAGTGGAAAGTTATGATGAGAAGTAAGGTTTAAATCAGGGACTCATCAGAGTCCAGAGGGTCTGCAGGCCCAGCATGGGCTTTGTACTAAAGGTGGCAGCTCAGAATAAGGATGTGACTCCTTCAGGATTACCATTTCTTTTTCCTTCAACTCCTGACCCCCTCCCCAATTCCCCACCACTAAAAATATATTGATAGTGTTTCCTGGATGGGGGTGTTCAATGGTTCCCAGAGCCCTGTCTGCTGACCCAAGGAGTAGCATCCGATCTACCACAGTTTGAATCCTGCTCTCTCGGACTCTCAGTCTCCTCTGTCAGCTACAGGAACAAATGCAACAGGATGCTCTGTGAATTTCTGTAGTATTTCTTTTGATACTTCTTTCCCTATGGTTGTAGCTTCCTCATCCCAGGAAGAAACTTGTTTCCCATTTTGCAGATGAGAACACTGAGGCTCAGAGAGGTTACCTGACTTATCCAGGGTTGTGTGGAATAGACTAGATTCTAATTTCCATACAACATTCAGCTTTGCAAGAAGAGGCATACTGCAAGTAGCTTAGGTGAAGGGGAAAGATTCAGTGCCAGGTCTGACCACCTTTATGGGACCACCAGAAATGTCATTTGCAAACGGTGTGCACTTTACTTTTCCTTGGGGACTTGATTTACCCACTCCAAAACTAGGCTTTTCACCTATATATTGGTGATAATAATACATGTTGCTCTGGGTAACTTGAAAGGACTAAATAGAATATGTATCTCGATTTCCTCATCTATAAAATAGGAAGAAATGCTGTTCTCTCTCTCTGGCACCCAGACAGGTCTCCAAGCAGTATTTGGCACACAGTGTGTTCTCAATGATGTCCTGGTAGTTTTTAACTACCCAGATACAGTATGGTTCACTGTACTCAAAAGTCAGCTCCATGAGGCCATCAGGTCTAAATCTTTCTAGGTACACATGTCATATGTAGACACAGCCCCCATCCTGGCTCTGTATTCTTAGATTTATCAAGCTCTTAGCTAACTGAATATTACCCTGATTTACCTTATTTATCTTATTTACTATTCACCACTCTATATGATAAATCACAGCATCCGTCAGTTACCTGGAGTCTTTGAGAAGACAGATTCCTGGGCCTTACCTCAGAGTTCTTGATTCAGTAAGTCTGGGTCAGGACCCAGAACTTACATCTCAACACACTCACTCCCAGGTGAGGAAGCCACCTGTTTGGGAGGTTCTGCTGACATGGGCAATCTTATTTATTTTTTCTCTCCTGAAGTTTAAGTTCACTGTCAGGGGGTGGGGGGCAAGAATTTTATTTTGTTTATTGCCCCAATCTACACACAGGATAGAAGGAACTCATTGTCTACATATTGATTGAATGCATTGATCAGAGTAACTTGCTAGTGCCTAACATATTTGTTCTTGCCCCTGAAGTCTTATTCAGCCATCTATAGCTGCTTTCGAGCCCAGGAGCAGGGTCCAGCCAGTGGCCCACTGATCATGCCTGCTTGTGCCCTAGATCATCCCAGCGGCCTGCAGAACCACCCTCGGCTCCGGACACCTCCACCACCGCTCTCCCACGCCCACACCCCCAACCAGCACCACGCGGCCTCCATCAACTCCTTGAACAGGGGCAACTTCACCCCGAGGAGCAACCCCAGCCCAGCACCCACAGACCACTCACTTTCTGGGGAGGCCCCAGCTGGCAGCGCTCAGGAGCCAGCTCATGCCCAGGACAACTGGCTACTCAACAGCAACATCCCGCTGGAGACCAGGTGGGTCCCAGTGGGCAGAGGCTGGGAGGTCATGGGTGGCTTTGGTGGCCAAGGCATAGGCCATCTAGGGCCTACGGTCTATTGGTGGCCTAGAAGGAAGGAACTATGTCTCCACCTTCTATCTATTCAGAGAAGGTGGGGTCAGGTGCACAACCTTGGGATGCAATTCTCTGATGGTAGAAGGAAGGGGCTATGGGAGGCTGGGACTTTAGAATCTACCAGACATGAGGTCCAGGCTAGCCTGCTGCTTACTAAAGGTATGACCTTGGTCATGTTGCTAGACCCCCATGCCTCACCTCCCTTGTCCACACAATGGCACTGAAGCTGATTGGGCAAGGCTATTGCAAAAGTGAGCAAGAAGGTATGCAAAGGAAGCAGGCCCAAATATATGGCAGGGCAGGCTCAGTTCTGCTTTGGCTGGGTCCTCAACTCAGACTTGTGCATTATTCCACTGCCTTATGTCTACCATCAGGCTTGCCTGATCTAGGGAAGGGGTTCTCTGAAGGTTAGCTTCCCCTCCCCTTCTCCTTTCCTGCTTTCCTGACCCATCTGCACCCACTAATAGTCCTCAAGCACTGGTAACAAAGGTTTTCATATTATGATATCATGTAATCCTTTTACCTTGAGGAAGTGGATTTTCATACGACACTCCCCATTCAGGAGTTCTGGAAACTAAGAATCAGTGAATCTATCACTAGCCCAGGTGACACAGGACGTTAATACACAGCTAGAATTTGGATCTAGTTCACCTGACTTCCTGTCCGTTCCTGTTCCCCTGCAGCACATTCTCCTTCTCCGGGTCACCCCTTTCTTCCAGGAGTACTGTGGGACATTTACCTCAGTTCAGAGACTTTAGACTTTAGTCAGTGATTCTTACCACCTTCCACCTTCCTTATACTTAGCCATTGTTTTTCCAAAATGGGATCTGTGTGTGTGTGTGTGTGTGTGTGTGTGTGTGTGTGTGTGTGTGTTTGATTATAAGAACCATGCAACTCAAGAAAATGTAAAAAGATAAAAAGTGGAGAATTTGATTTATCTATAACCCCACCGTCTGAGCCCAGCACTTTTGGCATGGCCTCTCTCTACCCCCCAAGCCCCAGGGTGGACTGGCAAAGCCTCTTCCACTTCTATCCTACCTCTTAAAGTAATGGCACACATAGGTTTTTCCCTTCCCAAAATTCTGGTTTTTTGTGAGGAGTACAGTCATGCCACCACCCTTTAGGAAGTGAAGTGAGCCTGCAAGTGGATCCACCTGGCTCTGACATGTAACTGGGGTGTTCGTAGATTGAACTCATGGAGTCTACAAGAAATTAAGCATCTTTTTGCCCCATTTTATTCTCATGGAGTCATTTTTCCAAACCCAAGTTTCTCAGAGATATGATCCAGCCATCACCCACTCCAGTCTCTTAATTACTACTATTTCTGTTAGCGTCCTATAAAACCCTATGTGACTTCTCCCCCTGTGCCTCCCTGCCCTCATCCATTACAAGAGGGGTAATCATCTGTCTTCTCTCCGAGGGTAGCTCTCAGGTCTCCATTCTTTCCAGTGCTTATTGAGTGGCACGTGGCTGAATAATCAATGTCCTGGTTCTCTGCATGGACCACGGCCCCCATCCCTTCTCCTTGGATGTTCATTCTTCCCACTTGGGAGCAAAGTAGGACTTCCTCCTTTGAGTCTCTAGGTTTCTCAGGGGAAAGAGAAGTGGAAGAGGGCAGCAAGAGAGATTTCCTGATGGTCAATGTGTGGTACAAAGATGGTCGCAGCTCACCTCCCCTCCCCATCAGCCAGAAGTCATCTATCTGCCTTGCTGATCTTCCATCCTCCCGTCTCCATTGCTCAGATTGCATGGAATTGTGCTGTCCTCATTACTCAAATAGCTAACGTCCATTGTAGAACAGCTAGTAAATGAAATAAGCAAGAAGGAAAGCCAGTCACCTAAATCAGCCACCAAAAGGTAAATATTGCTAATAGGAACGTATACACTCACATACACCTTTTTATACATACATCCGTATGCACACATACATCTACATAGATAGATACATTACATATTATGATATATATTATTCAGTGGTAGATATTTAGTATTCAGTCTATTATGCACATGTATTCATCAGCATCTCCCACTCTAAGCTCTTTCAGGCCTCTGCACATACCTTTGCCTACCTCCACCAGAGTCTCCCTCGTCCTCACTTCTTGATCTAGCCTAGCCCAGCTGAATAGTTGAGAAAGGCTTCCTGTGTGATTGCAGAGTTCTAGGCATCTAAGAATGACCGCAGACTAAGAGCAGTACCGACTCTGGTGGATAACACCATCAGAATTTTGCATACTAGTTTTGACCTTACCTGGTTGGTGGCACCAGGCTCACAGGTGAAGTTAAGGGAGACCAGTGTCAAGTCTGGCTGGCGGAATCATCAGCTGAGCAACTGGGAAGGAGTGTGAGGTTTTTAAGTCAGATGTGCCTCTGTTCTTGCCTAGGCTTTTAAGCCTGTCCAACCTTTTGACATGGCAACATGAAGTATCTACAAAATTCACATTTGGGAACCACACAAGTGAATTACAAAAATAAATCATACATACACACAAATCCCATAATGTTCTAGGTAAGGTTATGATTTTGTGCGAGGCCTCATTCATACCTATCTTTACCCACGTGTGGCCTGTAGACTGTAGATTGGACACGCCTCTGGCTGATTAAGTCCCTCAACATCCCTGAGCCTCGACTTCTCTATTTGTAGATTGGGATTAAAAATTCATGTTTTCAAAGAGGTAGGGAAGAAATAAATGTAAGAAACACACATCGAGTGCCCAGCATTTAAAAGCCACATCATAAGAGCTATTTCCTGTCTCTTTGTAAGTCTCTGCTTCCCCATGTCAGCTCTATGAAGAAACAAATCATTGAGAAAGCACTTTTATGAGTCCCTATTCACCAGAGGAGTGAAGGAAGAGAGGAGGGTCTATCCTTTCTCTGCTTTGCGGAAGTGTGGCCCGGAGTTCTGAGCAGGCAATAAATGCTCATTCACCACTGCACATTGTTCAGAACCACAGGCTTTAGGGTCAACCGCCTGCTCTACTCAGACTCCAGCCTTCATGTTCACTGGCTGTGGACCTAGACCTTATGCTTTTTCACCCCTGAAAACAGTTGCTTCTGGTTCCCATTACCTGTGGCTGCTTTACAAATGAGTCCAAACTTAGTGGTTTAAACATGCAGCTGGTTGTTCTTTACAGTGTGAGTCGGGAAGTCAGGAAGATCTCTGGTGGCTCCTGTGCTCCATGTGATATGAATGGGGGTCAGTTGAGCTAGCAAATGGAATGGGCTGAGGGACCCAAGACAGCACCACTCATATGTCTGCTCCTGACTGTGGGGACTATTTCCCCTTCCTGGTGTCTCAGGGCTGCACCACGTGATCTTCTGAACAGGACAGTCATCATTCTCTGTGATTTGGGGTTCCAAGGTACTAAGACAGAAGCTGTTGATCCTCCTAATGGGCTTGACCTGTCTCTGGTATAGTGTCATCTCTGCCATATTTTGCGGGTTGAAACAATCATGAGCCACCCAGCTTCAAGGAGAAGGGAAACAGATCCAGCTTCTCAATGAAAGTAGTGTCAAAACATTTGCAGCCATCTTTAAACCACCAGCCTCTTTCGCTAGGCTTTTGTTACGGTTGCATTGAAATAATGCTTAGTGGTTCCACTACCTCACACAGTGCTTGTTACTCAGTTCCTACTCATGAATACCTATTATGTGCCTAGCAAGTAAGACATTAGAGAGAACAGCCTCTTGCAGCAGGATAAGTGCCCTGGCAGAGATGAGCTCTAGAATGTGCTGTGTTTTCAATACTGTGGGATCACATGACACTGTGTTTGCCACAGCATGGAAGGTGCTCAGAATATGATCACACAAGTGAAAAAAATGAACATGGAACAAATGGGTGAATAAATGTGCTTAACTGAGACTTGGGTGGGGAAAAGGCACAGCCTCTCAGTGGACTAGAGTCATGTGACTGAAGTGAAGAGAATCTCAGGTTCTACAGGTCTGGAGAGGGGAGGATGAGGAGGCCCAATAGAGTCAGCTCTATTTGAGATCATTGTTCCCCACAGCTCTTGTCAATCCTCACCAGAAAGGGCGCCTCGTGGTACCAGAGAAAGACATTCGCAGGCCCCGCCCATAGTTCAGCCTTTCATCTTTCATCATGTTGAAGGCTTAAAGCAAGTAACTCATCTGCAGATACCATAAAAGATGGTCAGATGACCAGGCAGGATTGCGTTTCATGCTAGCAGGAAAAGAAAGGCTAGCAGAAGGATGGACAAAGAGAGCTTCTGTAGACTCGCTGCCTTCTCACATCCCTGTGCCTCTGCCAATCCCCAGGTTAATTGAGTCCTCCAAAGAGAAGCCTGTACAGACCATGCTCCTTAGACCTGGGCTAAGCACCACAGGGCATCTGTGGTTATTTTGTTGGGAGCCATGTGTTCAGGGTCCCCCAACCTCTGATCCACCTCTTTGACAGGCTGCAGCATCAAGCATTTAATTGATTTCACAGGGACTGTCTGATTAATAACCTATCAGGTTCCTGTCAGATGAAGCAGAGCCAAGGCAGAAGGCTTCCAGACCTCTGCTCTGCCTCAGCTCATCTCAGGCGTGGTTTAGCAGCCTAGAGCCCATTTTTATCATCACACTGAATTTGGGGACCAGCCTGCCCAACTCAGGGTTTAGGGGCTACCTGCTAATCTCTAAGCCAGCCCTACTGTGCTTCCCAGACAAGAAGACATAGTGCCTTCTGATGGCCAGCTCATCCTGGGAAGTCACTTAACCTGCCTGCATCTCAGTTTCTTTATTTGTATAATGACCATTGCAGAGTTGGCTTGGGTGATCTGATGTCAGACATGCCTAAGACATAAATCTACTGTCACACAAGAAGCTTGTGGTGGGAAGTAAATCTGTGCTCTGTGTGATGCTCAGATTGAGCAAGCACTCCAAGCATAGAAGAGGATGCGGTTC